GACGATAGGTAGCGAGGATGATGGCAGCAGTGTCACGACCGATTTGATCGGCGAGATGACGACGATTAAGGAAGCGACGGAGACGGGTGGGGGTATTGAAAAAACCGAGGATGTGAGGGAATGAGATTGCGGCCGAAGGGTCTAGTTCTGCAGGGCAAGATGAGGGGAGGGTTGCGGATGCGTATTCTGAGGTTGAGATGAAGGGGGGTAGATGTGATGGTTTTTCTTTCTGTTGCTCCGCTGGTTTTTCTTCAGGACTTGGGGTGGTAGTAGATGATGCATCTTCGGATTTAGAGAGATCGCTATTGGTGCTTGTGTGGATTGTTTTTCCTAGGAGGGAATCGACTGGAGTTTCGGCTTCCGAGGTTGGAGCTGGGGTTTCTGCTACTTCTGGGCTCTCTTCCACAGGTTTAGGGGGTTCGGTTAATGGACCTAACCAACCCTCATGTACACCCCTGATATATTCTTTCCACGTATGTCGACCAAGTACTATATCACCTCTTGGCCCATCAAACTCCTTAATCCCAGCATTCTTCCTTGTCGATAAAATAGGATCCTGTCCCTCTTTACTCTCCTCAAATGGCAATCTTGCATTTCGAATCTTCTCCGCCAATTCCGCTCGAATATCACCCTCTTTCCTCCCCTGTATGAATTCCCAATCCAAACCTGAAGCTACCAATATAGGCTTCACATATTCCTTGAAATGATCTTGCGCAACCCGTAATCCGTCAGTTGGAGGTCCTTCGAGGAAAACAGTAAGTTTCCTTGGCATAGTACGAGAATCCCCCAAAGGCTCTTTCGCAATGTGTTCCACTAATTTACACCATTTCCTCTGCGCTCTCTTCTTTTCTCTCTTATCGTAGATGACGGCTGCTGTGAAAGATCCGGTAATGGAGAGGAATATCATCCAATTGCGGGAAGGAACTCGAGGTCTAAAATTTTCGCCGAATCCTAGGTATTTCCACATAGGATTGGGTGGTTTTTGTTTCGCAGCAGCTTTTGCATCGACTTTAACTTCTGCATTTGCAGTCGCAGCTGGCTTCTGCGATCTTGTTAGTTTAAGCTCTCCATATAAATCTTCATGGAGGGAAGTTACCTCTGCGTCGGGCACTTTCGAGTCTGACATTATGGTGGAATGAGTGTATATCTCTCCCAACCGTGAGACTGAAAATTCGAGTGCTCCTTCGTGTTTTTGAGCAATTGCTCTTGGATATATGACTGCTTGCTCAATATTTCTTTGCTGGAGTTGAATCTTTTTCAGAACGCCGGACAAGTCTTTCGCCGATTCCACGTGATGAAGCTTGGTTCTTATCGATAAGACCCCAAGTTGTGGCTTGGTATTGGCATTTTGGAGAACCGAATTCGCAAGGCCGGATCAAGAAAGGGCTGCATTGCCCGTCCACAGTCCACCGTGAGATCCATCCTCGCCATCGTACCAGTGGACGTGATTCACCATATCAATTGTGTAACCGTACTCCTCCGTAGGCATCTTGGTAGGTATGAAGATTACTAGCGATCCTAGATACCACAATTCCACCATCTTGTTTGTTGTGATAATACCGGCACCTTCCATGATCATACATCATACAATTTTAGTCTTTGTCATGTGATTTATGTTGGCGCCGGGTAAAGGGGCAAGGCCATTCCCGCTCCCGTGGTGCTATCAACATAAAAAGGGTAGGTTGGTTAACGGAACGGATGCTTTAGTCTTCACCGGGTCACTGCTATCATCGGGGAGGTCCATGAACCTTAATCTTACAACATCATTGGAATGGATGAGATTGACAAGACAAGACAAGTGAAGCACAGTCAAATAGAGTCAAGTAGAGTCAAGGAAAAGCTAACTCGCAACCCAAAGCCAACTTTTCAATAAGCCACCAAACTTTCTTGCCAGACGTGTTTCTTGTGGTGGGGAGATCCAATTCTGCCGCTTCGTAATAAGTTGTCGCACCTATTGCACCTAGACAGTAGTGCAAAGCAAGTCCTCTGTATTATTCATGCTCAGACTCAGACAATGCCTCAAGGCGTAGCAAACTAATGAAAGTGAGCTGCCACCCTACATACGAGAGATACTGACGCAAAGAATGGGTGGTGGAAAATGTTGGACGGGCTTTTTCTGCTGGTGACATTACATTTCCCACTCTCCCCATCGCCTTGTTATGGTTCTATGTTATGCGACCACCACATACAGCTCTTCAAGGGAAGTGTGTGTTATGCCGAGATATGCGGAGACCAAACCGTGAAGCCAGTTGTCAATACAATATAGTATAATATAATATAATACAATAATAATAATGGAACAGTACAACCGAATAGAGTGGAATACGACAGAATATTGGGAATGGAAATGGAAATGGAAATGGAAATGGATTTTCATCTGATTTTTATTTTCCATCACATCATTCAATTCTCGTCTCCTGTGGATTGGATTGGGTAGGTTACTGTACAGCGTATGTAAGATTCAGTACGGAGGACAAGAAAGATATGGGACGAAGAAAGAAGCTCACAGAGGAGAAAAGAATAATACCACCATACCAAGGTAGTAAAGCGATCGATGCAAACGATTTGATTCAAGTCAATCTGGAACAGATGAATACTACCTCAGACTACCTCAGACAGTCAGACTACCTACCTAGGTAAATACCTAACCTTGGAACTGCTGTGATGATCTCTTATCGAACCTTCTATTTTTAAAGCTAGAATCCTTGAGATCCCCTTAAAAAGATGCATTAATCTATTCCGGGAAAAGCTTATCAGCACGTGATATCAAAGTGATTGAAAACATCTATGTGTGAAGTGTGGGATTGAATGAATGAAGGAAGGAAGGAAGGAAGGAAGGAATGGATGATTCCCCGGAATTGGCAAAGCAGAAGATCTTTGTTGGAGAAGAATGGAGTCAAGGCACTCTTCTCGTGCTTCCTTCCACGACCTCCTTGTCCATCCTCGTGATTTTCTCACACCATAAAGAGCATAGCATCGGAAAATCGGTAGGAGAGGAGGACAGAGCCACACACATCAATTTTCAGACGGCAAGAGCGAGAGCGACGAAACTCCCTCACTCCACTTCCCTTTTTACTTTTTGGCGATGGGCTGGGATAATGGGACCTAGGTAGTACCTTTTTTTTGTTTGGCCTAGGATATACGGAGGATGGATGAGAGCTCCATGGGCGAATAGCTGTGAGCTATTAGCTATTAGCTATTATAACATGCAGCATCATACCGTGGAAAATGAGGTAAGTAAGTTCAAGTAAGGGAGATGGAAACAAGAAATGAGAGTGAGTGTAGTGAGTGTAGGTATACCTTGGTAGTAGATAGGTTGCAAGTATAATAAAGTCACACCTAGGTAGTAATCATGCAAAGCAGGCCAGATGTATAAGTTGAGGTCAATCACGTATCAATTCTTCAATAATACAGGTATCCAGTAGGCAAACAAAGAATAAATTATATAATCTCATCGGATAGTGTTTGTTTATTACGTACCTAAGAATGTATACATGTACATCCATTTGCCTTGATTTCCAATCGAAGTTCCCATATAAGATGATGTATTGGGTATGATTTGATGGCGTTGAGGGGAAGGTCTCCTTTCTTTTGTTTGCCTAGGTAGCATTCATTCATTCATTCATTCATTCATTCATTCATATACACAGACCTAGGTACATAGCTAATAGATACATGCCAATACATGCCAATACATTCTAGGTACATTATTCACTCAATCTCAATCTTATTTTATATACCTGGTGCGCATCTACCTCTCTCTGGATGTACGTAGTAGATTGTATTTCGTAGTAGTGGTGGTGGTAGTGGTGGTAGTGGTGGTAGTAGTGGTAGTAGTAGTGGTAGTAGTAGTGGTCGTAGTGGTAGTAGTAGTGGTCGTAGTAGTATAGTAGTAGTAATAGTAGTATTAGTAGTGGTAGTAGTAATAATAGTAGTAATAATAGCAGTAACAATAGTAGTAGTAGCAGCATTATTATTATTATAACTCAACTTGGAAAAGGGTGAGAGAAAAGAACTAAAGGAAATGCTAGGAAATGATAGGAAATGATAGGAATCGCAATACCACCAAAGACCAGGAATACCAGGAAGACTAAAGAATGCTAGGAATGCATGGAAATCCCCATCTAGCCAATCATATTAATTCCTCACACTTTACTCAAGATCAAGCGAATTACTGGTAAGCTCATCCACGGCTCTTGCTTTTTTTTCCCCTACAGTTTGAAATGCCCGCAAAAATTGGATCACCCACCTAAATTCTCTCTCCTACTTCTTTTCCTCACCAAATCTCTACCTGCGAACTGTGTACACGCAAAATCACATACAACAACTTCTCTGGTAAGCAATTCCCCAAACACTCTCTCCGACTCCTACGGTATCTTCATATCACTCCCGTGGCTATTGAGTCTCAAGATTCTCTTACTCTTGAGAACGCGCTTTGATTTCTACCAAAAAAGTCGAGTTTTCATTCAGTCTTGATTCGATTGCTACTGGCTTTCATTCTCAAAATACTCCAATACAATTGCTTCTCTTTTCAACTTCATCGGCGCGTCACCTCTTTGCGTCGCGATATCACTTCGACCCTACTACTCCTACCACTCATACCAAGCACCATTTCACTGATTCAACTTCTTCGCGTTTTAGATCCACCACGTCAGTTAATAACTGTCGTCACTTTATAAATCCATTTAGATGTAAGTTTTCCCTTTCATTTCCATCTTTCATCACTTTCACATTCCACGTCGTGAGGAAGTTGTTCCCTTTGCGACTGCTTTCACCTCTCACATTATTCGCAACTCCATACAAAAATACTACAACACCTTCACAACGCGCTATCACCACCAAATCATCAACCACTTGCTCGTCGATTTTGGTCCACTTTGGTCTCAACCACAACCACTCTTCATAGTCATCGTCGCAAATTTATTACGGTCGCATAAACATTTCAATCAATCGTACTGACTTTAATTCTTCTCAATTAGACCCATTTCACTTAATTCAATATGCCAAAGGAAAAGGCTCCCAAGCGTGCTGCCAAGAAGACTGAGAAGAAGAAGAAGGGTATGTTAACTCTTGCTCGTGAATTGCCTCTTGAGAAAACCTACAGACTGACTCGTTCTCCAATAGATCCCAACGCACCAAAGCGTGGTCTTTCTGCATACATGTTCTTCGCCAACGAACAACGTGATAACGTTCGTGAGGAGAACCCCGGAATCTCTTTCGGTATGATCTCATTCCTACATCACCCTTACAATTGCATCACTAACATGAGAAACTTATAGGTCAAGTCGGAAAGGTTCTCGGTGAACGCTGGAAGGCTTTGAACGAGAAGCAAAGAACTCCTTACGAGGAGTCTGCTGCCAAAGATAAGAAACGTTACGAAGAGGAGAAGGCCAATTACAACGTAAGTCTTACAGTGCGTATCAATCATGCTATCATGGCAGAAAATTCTCTGGAAAAGAAACGTGGAACTAAACAATACCTTTTACAGGCCGATGCTGAGGAGGAAGAGTCTTCTTAGAGATTTCTTTAATCACTCAAACTTTCAATCACTTCATCTCGACAAATGATAGTCTTGATAGCTACCTATCCGACCATCACTATCAAAGATGACATAATCATACAAGTTGGGAGGTTCTCCGGGGTTATCTTTTCTGCTTTTCATTTGGGCTGGGGTGTTATGTTTTGACAGGGGAATGGGATGATCAACTTGTGCACATGTTGCCGTTTTCCTTTTCATATCGGATGATGATCTTGCGGTATCGTTTTTTGCTATCGATGAATTTTTTATGGTCTGGTCTGGTCTGGTCTAGGGCAAAGTCTAGGTCTGTCTAGATAGGCCTGGGACAAGAGATAAGATCATGGTAAATTTCTACAACCAATTGCGTGTAACAATGATATCGTTTGTATTCTAAATCTTGTCATTTGATTTTATTAAAGTTGTGATTTTAAGTGTGATGTGATATTAAGTGATGTTTTGAACGTGATGCGAATAATGGATTGTTATGAAAACAAAGCTCTTTTTGAAATATAAGGTGGAATGTGTTTAGACCCATTACTCGATAGGTACTTAATATGACTTGTACTCGCCACTTGCCACTTGCCACTTACAAATCGAAACGAAATGAAATGAAATGAAACGAAACGAAACGGGTGAAACGGAAAGGAGAAAGGGAGGGATTCGAGATTGGAGATTGGAGATTCGAAGGATCTGAGACATTTTTTTGCCTTACAGCCTTGTGAGGAGTGAAGTGTAGGGAGTGGAAGTGGAAGTGGAAGTGGAAGTGGATACTGAGGATTTTTTTTTGGTGATTGTGATTGTGATTTTTGGGGGGTTGCTTTTTGGGGGGGGGGGGGGGGGGTTTGGGGGATTTTGGGGGATTTTTGGGAATAGGGAGGGAGAAGGGGAGAGAGGGAGAGAGGGAGAGAGGGAGAGAGGGAGAGAGGAGAGAGGGAGAGAGGGAGAGAGGGAGAGAGGAGAGAGGGAGAGGGAGGAGAGGGAGAGAGGGAGAGAGAGAGAGCGAGGGAGAGAGGGAGAGAGGGAAGAGAGGAGAGGGAAGGGAAAGAGAAAGGGGAAGGGAGGGAGGAGAGGAGAGATGTATGGATAAATGGATGGATGTGTTGGAGGGGAGTGGATTTGATAAGAGGGAGGAGGGAGAGGAAAGGAAAGAGAGGTTGTATGGATATAAAAAGACTGAGGAAAATCGATAGGAATTGAGGGGTTTTGATGGGAGATGGATGGTAGGTAGGTAGGTAGGTAGGTTACTAAGAGTTAGGTGGGTTGGGAGATTGTGAGTTGGGAGAATGTAAGTGGAGAGATTGTGAGTTGAGAGATTTGGAAGTAATCTGAATTGGGAGGATTGCTAGTGACTTAGTTGTTTATTTGTTTGTTTATATGCGCTGTTGGAAGTGGATGGTATATCTATCTAGTAGTGTATTGTTTTTATTTTTGGTTGGGAGGGAGGGAAGGAGGGAGGGAGGAAGGGGAAGGGGAAGGGGAAGAGGAAGGGGGAAGATGGATGGTGGAGAATGGTGCGGGTAGGGGGTGAGGGGTGGTAGGAAGTAGGAGGCGAGAGGGGATTTCTTCTTGCTTGTTTGCTTGTTTGCTTGCTTGTTAACTTTGTATCTGCATGGGATTGGACTGGGCTGGGCTTGAGGGTCGAGGCGGTAGGTTGAGGTGCTGGGTGTGTATAGGGGTGTATATATAGGGGAGTGTTGAGGAGTTTGGAATCGATTGATTTTATGGATATTGGATATTGGAGGTAGGAGGTGGGAGGTGGGTTGTGGGGATGAGGGTGGTGAGGATGTCGAGGTTGATGGAGGGGAGGGAGTAGAAGTGGAGGATAGGGAGTGGAGTGGAGTGGAGAAAAGGTAAAGCAAAGAGAGGATGATAGAGGGAGAATAAAGAAAGAAAGAAAGAAAGAAAGGGTCTTTTGATGATTATGATTTCTGAGGGAGGGCTTGATGATATATATATATATATATATATGAAATGGGGAGACAAGATGTTGATATGGGATGGGATGGGATGGGATGGGATGGGATGGGATGGATGGGATGGGATGGGATGGGATGGGATGGGATGGGATGGGATGGGATGGGATGGATGGGATGGGATGGGATGGGATGGGATGGGATGGGATGGGATGGGATGGGATGGGATGGGATGGGATGGGATGGGATGGGATGGGATGGGATGGGATGAGATGGAATAGGATGTTATATTTAAGGTCTAGGTTTCTGAGAATGTTTTTTATTTTTCTTGTCCTTCTTCTTGTCCTTTTCTGGGAATTCTGACAAGAAGATATATTGATTGTGGTTGGATGATATGATGATTGACTCTTGCGACGCGAGTGCCTAACATTGGATTGAAATACCTAGTAAGTATTTCTAACCATCCTTCCGCAATCATTATTCGACCGGTTGGGAGCACGCAAGAGAGTTTCGGATTGTGTTGTCTTGTACGCCCGGGCGTGTGCTTGTGGTTAGATTGGGATGATGGTGTGTATATATGTGTGTATATATGTGTGTATATATGTGTGTATATATGTGTGTATATATGTGTGTATATATGTGTGTATATATGTGTGTATATATGTATCTAGGTATGCATCTATTGGTGATGTTCAAGACGGTTGCAATTGTTACTTGTTACTTTAGTGAGGTGCGATTGAGTTGATTTTTATGAGTCGAGTTTGGCCTGGAATGGATTCTCATGTTGTTGTTTTTTATTTAATCTCTATGGTTTTATTATTCGAGGAAGCGAGGAAGTTTTCCCGAGTCTGAGGGAGGTTGTTGGTGTGGGTTGGATGCTGCTGGGATCACTGTATGATTGATATCTATTGCAATGTTTGCGGATTTGATTTGATTTGATTCGGTTCGGGTACCTGAGTACATTGTTCTCTTTTCTTCTGTCTGTTAATGGATGGATAGGATGGATGGTAGATTTGAATGATCTTTTAGAGGAGCCAACACAGAGATTTATCTTATTTTAAAAACAAAAAGGGAAGCTTGATTTTGTTATGGTTAATTGGTTGATTGATTGGAATCATCAAGTACCGTTAATATATCACAATCAAAGTAAGAAGCCGATGAGTGTCGGATGTGGCCTCGGCCTCGGCTTGACTACAATAACACAATTCCGTGTCATCAGCCGTAACCACAAAGTCAGCCTTGTACGATTCGCTCGTCGTGATAATATCTACCACTTTGCAAGAAAAAACATTTTGAAGGCTTGGTGTCACTTCATATCGTGGCATTACAATTGCAGCAGTGGCGATTTACAATCAATTGATTGATAGGTATTCTTCCACGATTCTACGATATCCCGTTGATGAGATCAATGAATGGTGATTTGATCCATGCAATGCAATCGCGGAGAGCTTGGAGAAATCTGGTTCGTTCGCACGGAGTTCATGCATGCATGGTTGTGGTTGGAATCTGTATCTTTATCTTTATCTTTATCATTCATTCATACATACATACATACATATACGCAGACACATCCAACCATCCGAAGAAATCGCAAATGGTAAGTATACATTACTGGCTAGAATTGATCATGCAAGAAAAGACAATTTTTCCTTGGTCACCCACCGCACGCTTCTGCAGAATGGGAAAGTGAATGGCGAATTGCCAATGAATCATGCACCGCATCGGCGTGGAGAAGGATTAGAAGAGGGGAAGGGAATGATACGATATTTGACGCTTCCAATGGTTTTTGACACGTCAGTCGTGCTCTCTGCTGAGGTTGTAGATTCGTCCACCTGCGAGATGTGTAATTTGTTGATTTCATCCGCAGAGCCGCGGGTGCTTGGTTTGGAGAAGTTGATGGGTTTCGGGATTTTTGAGGGGAGGGGAGGGGATAGTTGCTTTTTTGTGTTATTTCTGTGGAGGGTTGGTAGGTACTTATGTATGTGTGTGTGTGTATATGTGTATGAATTGGTTCGATATTATTCGAGATTCTTACTCCGCTTTTTTTTCTTCGAAGCTTCAATTTTGCTTCTTCAATTGATTTGAGGTGGTATGATATGATCTGATCTGATATATTCATTTCATTTTATTTTGAGTTGACTTGACTTGACTTCAGATTCATTCAAGTCTCAATTAACACTCGACAATATATAATGAATTTCTGAACATACTACACAGCATAACTCATTGATTGAGTACCCATCTCCACTCTCAAATTCCAACACATCCATACGTCGCATCACCACAACTTAATGTCGTTCCAGCCCCAAACATCCGCACTAGAAGCATGGAGGAGCTATCCGGCTGTTGGCGCGAAGCCGCCCGCGCCGACGCCGTCGCAATCGAACTCCTCAAAATCCGCACCCATCTAACCTCCTCCTCCGTCGCACTTCTCTCCCCCTCCTCCTCTCATCCCCATTCTCCCTCGCTATCCGATTCCCACCCCGATTCCCCCGACATCAGCGACTATGAAATCATCACTGCGATTCTCCGACACGTCGAACAGACATCGCGGCTCCTCCGCGACTTGCACGATCTCTTCCCGATCTTTCGATTGCGCGTTCCCGTCGTGATATATTATTTAACCGTCATCCTACCGTGTTTGCAAAAGACGCTCCGGGATATGCTGGCGTTTTTGCTGTGTGATGATTGGTCCGTCAGAATGAAATGGATGTTGATGCATGAACGTTTGAATGAACAGGGGGGGATGACACTGGCGTTGCGGTTTGTGATGTATGTGGATTTTTTGGTGCAGTGTGTGAGATTGTTGAGTAGGTGAGTGAAAGGACTTGGTTTTTTTCTTTTCGTTTTATTATTTGAGGGGATCGGATCGGATCGGATCGTTTGGAGGAGTGCGAGATTTAGTTCGAGTTCTAGATTTCACCCGGTGAGATGTGGGAGAGGAGTGGGATGGGAAGAACTTGATTGGATGGTGGTAACAGCGGTCAGCACATAGATCACCAACTTACGATCCCACGACGCTGGAATTGCTGCGCTTGAGAATTTTAAGGTTGAGGGCTTTGAGGGGGATTCCGGGTATGTTTTTTTTTCGCTCTTTGGTTTGGGGGTTTCTCGATGGTTTTTGCTCGTCCCATCTCTTGTTGATACTCTCGTCGAGTAAATGTGTGCTCATATGGAGAATCTGTATCGATTAACCCGGAATCTGTGTTTATAGCACCGCCAATCCCGATACAACCACATCTCGCTCCTGCACAACCGAATCTGATGGAAATTGAGGTATGTAAGCGAATTCTCGGTATATAGGTTTGAAATTTGCTGCTTGGAAATCAGTGTCTGGGAAAGAGAAGCGAGGGTTTGGGGAAGAATTGTAGGCAAGTAAGGATGTTGGATGTTAATGATGTTTAGCGACGGCACTGGGCGGAAAAGATCTTTGATGATCATGCGCAACCGCTTTCGCAGGCACTTTTGAAACATAGACGAGAGTATGTTTGTCTTTTTTTTGTTTGATTTGAAATTTGGGGACTGGATAGAGGGGAATCAGAGAAGGAGTGTGAAGTTTGATATTGGGGAAGAGGAGGTATTCATGGGAATTACAATGATTAACTGATAGTATGGATATAGATCGAGATGTTGGGGTCCATCGATGAATCTTATGAAGTTGGGTATCCCTCCACAATCAAAAGTTCTGTTTAAATTGTGAGTCTTATATTTCCTCTACTCTCTGATATTCTCCCTCCTTCACTATTTCTTTACCCCCTTATTACCAATAGTCTCACTAACTATTCAGACCCTTTGACAAAAATCATCTCTCCGTAACGCTCTATCTCGACGATACAGCACTTCATCAATCTCCCTATTTACTCTGTCGCTGGATGGATAAACAAAATAATCCTCACTATTCTTCTTTTGGGGTTCATGAGCTATGTATTCGGAGACATGGAAGTGCGTTGTGTTTTAAGAGGTGGAGTGAGTATAAAGAACATCCGACTATTTGGATGGCTTTATTTTTCAAGTGAGTGATGCTTTTCTCGGCTGAGGGTTTGGAAGGGAAGCGATTATGAGGGGAAGTAAAGGGAAATAGGATTTGAAGAGAATGTGCTGACTGATTTGTGAAAGGACTTGGCAACGTTAGTATTTTTTTGTAAACTTGTTTTCAAATTGAATGGAGGATAGAAGTATGAGATAAGATGGACAAAAAATTGACGTTGCAATATAGGAATGGTGCTCTTCCATTGCTCATTCGTAGCACTGAAAGCGCGTTCCCAACTCACAAATCTGATACCAAGAGATGATTATATCATTGCCGGAGAGGTGAAGATTTTCCAAGGGTAGGTAATTAGTTTTCCTCGGAAGGTAGAGATGCAGAACTTGGACTGAAAATATGAGTTGTCGGGTATGAACAAAGCATCTTACTAATACATTGATAAAAATAGACAAATAGTAGACGATGGATTCCACCACTCTCTCTTCGTCTACGAAAATCAACACACCCATACCCTACGACTTCACGCCGCAGTCGCAAATGGAGAATTGAGAAAATGTCCTGTCTGGACCGCTTTTAGTATGGGTTTTCTTCTTTCCCTTTCAATACTCTTTCCCCTTTCCCATATCCTCTCAATTTCCCTAAATTCTTTTCCGCGTAACCTCCCACCTGGCTCCCAACATTCGCTAAACAAAAACACTAGTAACCGACCTCCAAGTCACATCCGATACCTGGCTCGCCCGACATTCGCGTCATCGCGTTTGGGTCAAAGATTTGCATCTCTATGTTTTCTGCGATGAGTATTCGAGACGTGCGCAGGTGAAGAAACATGGGGAGTTTGAATTGAATTTTGTGCATGGGGCTGGTAGGTTTCGGGTTTCTTTTCTCTTGTTGCTATTTTATGTATATCTTTTGTGTGTATTTCCTTCAATTTTCATAACAAGAATCAAAGATATTCTTTAGCGGATGAAAAGACAAGTAAAGTAGAAAGAGTGAGAATTATAGAGCTAACTCGCCGAATAGCAGCAGATGCATTCATAAATGTTTTCTACCCCCTAGATTCCGATTCGGATTCCGAGTGCGCGATTGAAGATGTGCCGGGGAATGCGTCGGCTGGACTTTAACAAGATATATCGAGTTATTGAAAATTTTCGCTTTTGGTCTTGTATCGAAACGAAGCGAAACGAAATGGAACGAAGCTAAACGAGGATTCGTGAACATTTAACATATAATTTGGGGGTTAGACGTCAGCTGAAAACTCATCCTCATCTAAGGCTTAGGCCCACCACGAGAAAAATTGTGATTATCAGATAATCCCACGATTTCGACTTCTCTATTTTTCATTCTGTGGTTGGAATAGTGGCTTTCATGAAGATTATGGAGATTGTAATCTTCTACGCTTCTTATACGTTCCCCAGCTTCTCGAAAATTCAACTTCTATCATTAATTTGTTCATCCATTTATTCCTCACACCGAACTTTCGATATTCTCTCTACCGATTGCCGTATTTACAGCTACACTTCTCCGTTTCCTTGACTGCTCCTTCTCTTATTACTTATTACTTTTTACTTCTCCATCTTACTTTCCCACTCTCTTGATTTCTCACTTCCTTAAACTATTCTTATTAACCTCGGGAATCAAGATGAGGATGCACACCAGAAGGTATCTCTGAAAAGAAGAAGAAGAAGAAGAAGAAGAAGAAGAAGGAATATAAATCACAGGATACCGAGTTCTTTTTTCATAAAGTTGAACGATTTGATATGATACTATGATACTATGACGTCATGATATCAAGAGCCCACAATACCCAGAGAATGCGATTTCTTTTTTGGGGAGGAGGGGGAACTCACCTTGTTCTTCGCTGTCTATTTGATTTGTTTTTCTGTTTTCATTATTTTTGGGTCATGGTATTGTGAGCGTGTGTTTTGGTTCCTTGATTGATATCCATGTTGGTATCAATGTCGATAGCACTTGATCCGTCGTAAATACATCGTATTTGCAGGCTGCGGCTACGGATTATGATTTATGTTAGGAGGAGATTGGACGTGATGTGTGATGAGGATATACGAAGTGGAGGTCTGAGAGTCGGGAAGAAAAGGGACTCGAGAATCGGTGATGAGGAAGAAATTGTGTTTATGTTTTAATTGTCGTGCTAGATGTAGTTGCTAGTAAGCTTGATTTGAACCTGAATTTGTGTATATTCTTTGAGTATCGTAGTGTGTTTCCCTCATTATGTATCTATCTTGAATGATGTTTTTATCGATATCTGAAGCGTCTCCGCCTGAACGAGGTTTGATGTTTGAGGTTTGAGTTTTGAGGGTTAGGTTATACGTCGCTTCTTTTCTTCCACCTTTTTCTTGGAAAGGGAGGAATTAAGTACTGAGATGAGATATAAAGGTTGATTCACTTCGTTTGATTAGACTACAACTAGGTATATAATTTTGTCTCAATTTTTTTTCTCGAAAATTTAAAGTGAAAGAGAAACGAAACATCTTGGTATATTTTATTAGATATCGATAGAGACGCTCATTCATCAAAACTCATTTAAACGTACTAGATATCCAATTTATCATTACGCTGTTATTTTTAGATCTTATTGAGAGTATAGAGTAGGATATTTATACATGTTTGAAAGTTATAACATGTGTTGAAGTTTCTCAAGCAGAGGGGTAAATTTTGTTAGTAGAGAGTAGCATCTTCGACAGACAAAACTCCCTGTGAAAACTCTGTATCATAGCTAGTTCCTAGAGTATCTACTAATTTCTCCTTCTTAAACCAGATACTCGCGGATATATAATAGAGATACATGACATATCGCGAAAGTATACATATGTATCAGTGAGTATGAAGGAGTCTAAAATCTTGATCGAAATATTGAACTTAAGCGAGAATAGGAGAAGCATTAGTAATACGAGAAATTCTCACTCAGCGAGTAATCATCAGCTACGTCTCTTGATTTCTTGGAGAACCTCTTTTGGGAGTTGAAGCTTGGTCTGATGAGAATCTTAGATGGGGAGGGGGAGAGAAAAGAGAAGAACAAATGGATGAGGTGGTGTATTTGATTAGTTTGGTTGGGATTTGAATATGCATCGTTATGCTTGGTATTGAGTAATTTTGGTGTGAATTATTTTTAGTGTGGTTTGATTGCTGGTAATCGTTTGGAGATTTATCGTATTTGTTTAGTCTATTTGTAATTTTACTATGCGCATGTGTATTTGCCATACAGTAGCTAGGGACTTTAAAGTAAATATAGAATCTTTCATTGTTTTGGCGAATCGGGGTCGTAGTAATCTTATCTTGTGTGATTATTTTGCAGCCTCTTGAATATAGGGAATAATGGAGGATGGAAAATATAAACTAGATTCTGTCTATTATATATATATATATATATAAGAATCGATATATAAACGCTCGATCTATCTAGACGTGTAATAGCTCCTCTGATTTATGAGTACGTGACAGTATTTCCAAGTAATCCTAAAACTTGAATTGAAGTTCTTGGGGGAGAATCGACGAAGGTTATTTTTGGTTTAGATACCAATCGAGAGGAATTGAGTATGATAGAATTCGGTATCATGTTGAGTTTATGTATGTGATTTATTTAGATCTCGCTTGGTGTATTCAAACGAGAGTTTCCGAAATATGTGAATAAAATAGAGTTCTAATTGAGTTTAAGGCAATACTCATTATAGTAAGGATCCATCTTTGAGATCTAGAATCGTATACGAAAAAGGCAGTTTAATGATACTGAGGGCAGACTAATATTTTCAAGATGCGACTCGAGAGTTTCCCGATAGTAGCGTCGTTTTGTGTGTTTAGCCGAAGTTCCATGTCATTTAGGATCGGTATTCAAAATGGAATAGCAGTGTGTATAATTTGGAAGCAAGAGATCGTGCAGTATGTCTTAACAGACTCTGTAATCATGTTGAAATACTATTAAAAAAGTGTGAAAGAATGAATACTCATATCTTGATACAGTTGGACTGACATCAGATTAAATGAAGAACGGCATGAAGTTTATTGTTCAGAACTCTTTAAGTAAAAAATCATGAAGGTATATCCTTTCCTTAACATACAGGATTTAAAATACGGTTTATAACTGGAAACAGATTGATCGAGAAAAAGTATAAATGCTCTATATGCAAATATCAAAATATTTGAATTTAAAAATCAACAAATTAAAAATAAAGAATTTATGAAATAAGATCGAAAGGGATTTTAGGATTTTATAAATTAAGAGTTTTCTAATAATATAATTTTTATATTAATAAGTTATAATTGATTAGAGAGTGGATTAAAGAGATTGAAGATTTGAAGATTTTGAAGAGTTGAATAAACATTTCTGATTGGTTCGGAGGTTCGGGGCTTGCGATAAGAGAGATAAGGAATTAGAAAGAGGAGGGGATTAGAAAGAAGAGGGGGAGGGGAGGGGATTAGAAAGGGGAGGAGATTAGAAAGAGGAGGGGGGGGGAAGGGGATTAGAAAGAGGAGGGGGAGGGGAGGGGATTAGAAAGAGGAGGGGATTAGATTTATTAAATTTAGGCTTAAAGACGCCTTCGGTGCCCTTATGCGAGCCAGAAGCGAGAGGCTAGCGAAATCTATTTATTATTATTATTATTATTATTATTATTCAAAATTTAGGATTAGATATACCCCACCTCGCTTAAGTCTATGTACAAACCATTACTTCAAAAAGCCTATAATCTCTAAATAGCTTTAAAGCTTTAAAAGCTTCAAAATTTATATTTTGATGAAATATAGGAATATAAATCTTATTTATCCTTAGGATTCTAAAAGCTGTGTAGTATAAGTGTAAGTATAGATCCTGAATGGCATTAAAAATAACTACGGAGAGTGCTAGCGAAGCTGTTGTTATTTTTAGCCACGAAGGGCCGAGAAAAAGCTCGTTATGATAAGGTATAAATAGACAGATTCGATTGAGAATTTGCTACTCCTCTCCTGATAAGTAGGTACTGTAAGCAAGCAATCGAAAAATAAGTAGCTATTACCCTAGAAAGTAGTATGTAAACAAGCCCTTTATGATTACCTCCATCACAAATATCATCTATTTACAATGATAGGAAAGTTGTGTTGCACGTCTGCATCTTAAAATTACAAGGAAGGCCCTAACAAGTCTTTCAATAGAAGAAAGTCTATCTCTAGCTCTCTCTAGTTCTTTCCTCTAGCTCTCCTTAGCTCCAGGCTACTTCGCATTTCTGGACCACCCTAGAATCTTCCAAACCCTCTCAATCAATCTAGAATACTCTTTAAACGAACTGTTGCACATAGATATGTTTAACAAGCAAGGGTAGTCCTGATAAACATTCAAACACTCTGACCTAAGTCCCAAAACATACCCCAAAACTCTCATTCCGACAAAACCTGTACTTTCATAACTCCATCCTCCCACAGATCACATTCCCTCAAAATTACCTAGTTCCAAGAACGTTTGAAGAACTTCTTATATCTCTTCATCCACACTTTTTCTGACCTTGCATTAGCCGTACGTGCCACTTTCAATTGCTGCCTTGTATTATCGATGACGGTGCCTTGTTCATCTATGATGTTATTCGCTATTTGTACCGTTTCTTGTAGGCTTTCAACGAGGGATTGGGATTGTGCGAGCTGTTTCTTGGTTTCGATGAATTCCTTTTGCCAATCTGGAGTGACGATTTTGTATTTCGCTGATGGAGTCTGTCAGTATGTTGGTTAAATACAGAAATAGCACGGTTACTTACACTTGGAGCCCTTCTTTGGTACGTAATCGGATCCCTCCACGCTTTTCTTCGCGATCAGAGGCAGGCATTCCTTTACTTCACCGTTATAAATCTCCTGGATTCTAGGTTGTAAAAGCCATTTGCGAAAATTCACTTCTTTTTGTCGATTCATGGAACAGAAAGTAAATCCATTTTCGTCTTCGGATTCTGTCCAGATTCCGCTCTATTGTTGTAAGAATCATACCTGTCCCGCTAGGATTGATCCAACTCACTTTGATCATTGTCTCCGCGAAGGATTCTACAGTGTATTTCTTGCCGCTGAATAGCTCAATTATCCATTCTTGTCTCTCTTCGTCTCCTAATGGCAAGAGTTGTCGCATAAGATTGATGTGTATCCAGCGGCCATGAGAATTAGCTACATCTGATGTAGCAGGGTCATTTTCGAAGATTAATGCCAACAGTTCAATGCTTGCTTCATAGAAAACAGGAACTGCTTCGCGGATAAAATCGAGAAGATCTTGTACCATGCCATCTGGAATGATACCGGGAGGCATGGTGTATAATGTGAGAATGCGGGGTGGGAAAGCAGTGGTGTGATATGCTTGAGCCTCTGTATGGTCTTTGCTCTGCGTTGCGACCAGAGAAATTGCAGAAGTTTGGATACAAACTGAAAAGAATATACATAAAACTGATTTGTAGATGATTTTGTGATGAAGGTACACTTGTCTTCAGAAGGAGTTCTTCCGTGAAAATTTGAGATTTGTTTGTTTACACAGACTCGGAAACTACCGAGCTCTTCATCGGATGAGAGTGAAGATATTCACAGCCTCATTTTAGTATTCACCATGAAAGCTTTCGATGTTCATCAAAAGATGACAAGTCATAATATCCCATCTACACAAACAAGATCATTCTCCCCGTGTATGAACACGACAAGGATACAGAAATCCTCGACAATTATTGGCGCGGTTAGCATCTCCAGGAAGGATTGGAGGTTCAACATCTGAAAAGGACAATTGAAATGGCAAGGTAGAATGAAACAACTTAATACTTGGAACTAATTAGGGCTTCATGATACGAATCATCTTCGAGATCGCACTGAAAACGAAGAGTCTTGGACTTAGAAGAGTTTACAGCCAAATTTGAACGCCACCGAGGCAAATACAATCCTCTATTGAAGCCAGGAATCACGACGGTATACTCGGGGCTGACCCGGACTTCCCCAGACTGAAGGGCTGTTCGTATACCACCACTAGTTGAGGAAGTGATTCAGAAATACAATTATTCGATGAGCGAAAGCGGTTGGGGATGTTTTACTCAAAGAAGCTTGAAGTCGAGCTTTGAAGTTAGCACCAACATCACCAACATCACTGTCGCACAGACATCGGCTCTAGTGAACCCCGGAAAAGATAGCCTCGTAACTCTTTTCGCAGCCGCCATCGCCAATCGCAATTTCCTAACATTTTACCAATATTCCCAGAGAAGTTACTTCCTAAAGCATCAGATATGATATTTAAAAGCTGATATCCTTCTGGTGTGTCCCCAACATCAACATATCTAACATCTTCACCATCGCCATCACACAAATATGCCTACCTATCTCCTCCATGGTTTTCGTTGGAAAAGAGAGAATATCCGTATTTATGTGATTCTAAATGATATCGAAGATGCAGCTCCAGAATGGTTAATGGCGCCCTCGACCTCGAATGCTCTCCTCAATTCCTTTTACAAACAATTCGATTTTCTTCCACCAAGCAGTCCGGGTCCCATTGATATTGCACCTACTCCCAGTCCCCCCACAGAATGCACAACTCCCAAGCCGCAATCCCCAAAAACCCTCACGAAGAAGAACAAAAATTCCATGATCTCGTTAAAGTCACCTCACAAGAAGAGGTCCAGCTTAACATTGAGGAAAGGGAACTCGAATGGACAGAACAATGCTAGTAATTCGGGTTCGGAAACTTTACATAGTAGATCAGCATCTGGAGCTACAAATGCGATTTCGAGAGAACAGTCGCATGATGGATTGGGAAAACCATTGCGATTTAATGATTGGAGTGCGATCAAATTGGTCGAACAATATGATCCAGAGGATTTGAAAACGGCCAGTCAACCGTGGGCCTATGTGTCAGATCATATGGTTGAAATTGGGTTGGGTGTTAATATATGCGAAGAGGTGGAGAAGTATAAAGCCAATGTTGCAGAAGCAGAACGTGTTCCTCCTAACTGCGAGGAATTGGGAATGACTTCAGAAGAAATCAAGAAGAGGAACGAAAAAGCAGGGTGGCTTGATAAATTGAGGCAGAACTTGGAGGCAGAGGAAGTGTGCAATTGGTATGTGGTTGTCTGCGGGGATGAGGAAAGATGGGCTCCGGATATTGATTTGTCAGATGAAATGCAGAGTGGTGACGAGACTGAAGTAGACGATTCGCCGATAAAATTGTCTAGGAGGAAAAAGTTCAGGGATTGGCTTAACAAGCAGATATCTTACCAAAATGGTGTACCAGATGGACGTGGCCCTTCTAATGGTAGTCCGAACCATGTGGCGGGCACAAATATAAAGGAGTGATGGCAATCAACAAGCCAAATCGGTAGTAATTATAATATATTGACCTATACAAAACCCAAGTATACAATCTGTATGATTTAATGTACTCCGTCCTGAACACCGTCGCTAAATCCCATATGCAAACAATATATCTTCACTTTTTCGATGATCCAAATCCGACGATCCCCATACTAGCCATCATGTCGTCTTCATCATGTTCGCCCTCCACTCTAACATCTTCGCCGTATTCCTTCTTGACCGCAATTTCCTTGTCCTTTTCCTCCTTCTTTCTCTCAGCTAATTCTCTCCTCTTCTGCCTCTTTTCCTCTCTTTCCTTTTCATCCTCAATCCTTCTCCCTTCCAATCTCTCCCCCAAAGTAACAACCTCCTCATGTTTCTCCCTCTCTAGCCTTTCCCAAATCTCATCAATCCTCCTCCTCACATCCTCCACACTCGCTCTCTGAACCTCTCCCGTCTGTCCTATCGCCCGCAAATGCTGCATACTATTCTCATGTTCCACCCATTGCAAACTATCCTTAAAAGTCAAGTCACAAGCCTGACAGTAAAATCCCGCACCCTTTCCTCTCTTGCCGGTCGCTGCCCCCGCAGGCATTAATATAGTTTTCCCTACATTGGCAGATACATCGAGACGGTTTGCGCGCGCAGATGTAAGAGTTTCATCGCCAGTAAGAGGCGCGTAGTATTTCTTGCCGGCAAGCTTGGCTTCATATCGTAGACGCCCTTCTTCTTTTTCTTTGGCTTCTTGTTCGCGTGCTTTGGCTACATTGGCTTCGCGGTCGTATTTTTTGCGGAAATCAGTGTCCGAGGCATTAGTTTCGTAGGCGCCTTTTTTGGAGGACATTGTCGCGATTTTGGGATTGTAGTTGACGATGAGAGGTATAGTGTGATCTCCAATTCTACGTAGGGCTTTCAATTCGTCTTTGGAAGTATGTATGGAGTGTTGATCGAATTGTTGTCGCAAATGATTTTCTATGCAAGGTGAGGAAGGCTGCGATTTTGCCTTTCTCAAGGTCCGGGCGGTGAATGATTGAAGTATGAGCAAATGTGCGGGGCAAATTAATTTTCTTGAACTCTTGTTCGAACCCCTCACTTAATTGTTTCCACAGTACACAAGACAACAAAGATGCTCTACCTTATTGGACTTGGTCTCTCTGACGAGACAGATATTACTGTCAAAGGACTCGAGGCTGTCAAGAAATGCGCTCGCGTATACCTTGAAGCCTACACCAGTATTTTGCTGGTGGATAAAACAGTTCTTGTAAGTCTTTTTTCTAAACCCGGGGAAGTAAGGCGCTGACTGATGTAGACATAGGAAAGTTACTATGGACGAGAAGTGATTATTGCAGATAGAGATATGGTAGAGAGTGCTAGTGACGATATCTTGGAAGATGCGCAAAATGTAGATGTTGCATTTTTGGTTGTGGGAGATCCTTTTGGGTTCGTTCTACATGATAGTTTCCTCATAATTCGAAGGTTATATGTTGACACAGGTTTAGTGCTACCACCCATACCGATCTTGTCCTCCGCGCCCGTTCTTTAAACATTCCAATCTCTACCATTCCTAATGCCTCCATTATGTCCGCGATTGGTGCTACCGGTCTCCAACTTTACAATTTTGGGCAAACTGTCTCGATGGTTTTCTTCACTGAGAACTGGAAGCCTGCCTCATTCTACGATCGTATTAGAGAGAACAGAAATATCGGCTTACACACATTGGTATTGTTGGACATCAAGGTCAAGGAGCAAACTATGGAGAATATGGCGAGAGGAAGAAAGATATACGAGCCTCCGAGATACATGACTGTAGGACAGTGCGCGTCGCAGATGTTGGAAATTGAAGAGCTCAAGACAGAGAATGGAGAGGGAGGGGTTTATAACGAGGAAAGTCTCTGTGTGGGTGCTGCTCGAGTAGGCTGTAAGGATGAGAAATTTGTAAGTGGGACATTAAAACAATTGTGTGACGCCGATGAGCAATTGGGAGGTCCCTTGCACAGTTTGGTGTTGCTTGGAAGGAGGACGCATGAGTTAGAGCATGATTATGTTAGAGAATTTGCGGTGGACAAGGGAGTCTGGGATACCATTTGGAAGAGAGATTATGAAGGAAAGGTGTAAATGTACATCTTCCAGAGCTTTATGAGAGAAGCAAAAAAGATTGAGCATGAACGAATTGATGCGTTCTATGTGAATGAGAATATCATTTTGAGTTACCTCAGTCGCTCCATCCAAACGGGATGAGAAGAACGTCGCACGAATTGCTTCGGACACGTCAATATTGGTGCAATAAGCTAGTCGCGACGCACCCCAAGAGCAATCTATTCTACACACGAGTTGAAATCTTCCTAGCGCTGAAACTCACTCCCCCCCATCTTCTTTTTCCCAAACGCCCATTAAAAGAAATCTGTGCAACCATCTGTCTCAAGCTCATCAATCACACTTTCTCATGCCGCCTCTTATCTTCTTTCTAGTTCCTTGATCTTAGAACTGAGTTTGTCGTTCTGTTCCTCCAAATTAGCCAATCTTTCCTCAGAGGTAGCCAGGCGCTTCATAATCGTCCCCTTGGACTTCTTCAGATCCTCGATGAGGGCGGCGTCGTTAGCAGTGCTGCTGTGAATGGTAGGTAGCTCATGATTTTCGACAAGACCAGCCAGATTGGAGACTTCTGCCCTCAGGGTATCGACCTCTTCTTGCAATGTAGCAACTCGATCAGTGTCTGGCTGAGATTGGGAGACGTTGGAATTTCGAGGCCCATTGTCCGAGTTGTTTGCCTCGTCGATAATATTTCGCTGACGAATGTCCCTCACCACTTCTTTGACTCCTTTCATTTCATCTTCTAATCTACCAACTCGATCGATTTCGGATGAGGTTCGTATCCCTTTCTCGATTCGATCGACCACTTCTGCTAGTTCCCTCACTAGATTCAGGCCGGTAGAAAGTTTCTCTTCACTTGCCTTGATATCTTCCTCTAGGTTCTTGACTGCTCGAAGTGCAGATTCTGAGGAATGCCACGCCTTGCTTATTCTCTGTTCGGCGAGCTCCTTATGCTGTGTACTTTGGTACGATTCTTGAACACATTTTTCCAAGGCTGTAAGTCGATTATCAATAAGCACAATACCATACGATATCTTCTTTTGTACTTCGTCTATGAGTAACCTGTGCTGAGTTGATTGACGGATATTGATGTCAATGACCGCGTCTTCAAACCTCTTCTCACACCCTTGATACCGCGTCAACATCTCATCGGACATGTCAAGATCAGGGTGCGGAATGTTTGCAGGTGACTGGGTGGGGGAAGGGGCTACTATCAACTGCCGTTTTGATCGTATTGGTTCATCTTCTGAAGACGGAGTAGATTCAAAGTTTTCTGACGGCGCGAGTTCCGAAGATTGCTGCTTCGAAGTCTGTTTCTGTCGGCACAGTCTTTGGTATATCATTGTTGTAACAAACGCAGGCGAAGAATGCATAGATTTTTCTCGTTCCACAACTTCATTGGTTAATTGCCTCCTGAAGTCTTTCGCCTCTAATTTTCGTAACCGTTCATCGACACATGTTGAATGCAAAACGCCACTTGCGTGTCTTCCAATGTTTCCTCCTCCTTTCAAGAGACTGAGTGACTTCTTGCATTCTTGACACTCTAGATATAGGGTCTGAGTGTCGCGCGAAAAAGTAATGATGTATGGTAGGTCATCGGGGTACTGCATCTCGAGAAGTTCGATTTTGGTTCTAACCGATTGAAGTTTTGAAGACGAGATCTGAAGTTATCAGTTTTGTGATTACGTACTCTATGGAGATACTCTACATACACCTCCTGCTATACATGATTCACGAATGATAAGCTTCGAGGGGGCTTCGATGCCGCTGGGAGCTTTCCTTTTTCTTGCTGTACTCTATTGTGGACTAGAGGTTGGCAGGGAGCTCACTATAATCGTGTTTTCGAACGAATATTTGATCGATCATCATTGTAATCATCGTCATAATCATCTTCATCTTCATAATTATTATCACTCAAATCTGAATAGTAGTTCCGTGGGCGCGGGCTTCTAAGACTAGTAGTCTTTTCGTTCGCGGTTGTGCTAATGTCTGACCTCGATGGTCCTACTTCTATTTACTGTTAGTTAGCCATACAGCTGAACATGCCACAAAAGTGCATAAATCACCGGATGAGTGTTTGTCATTAGTCTTTAAGAAAAGAGATGAAGGCTGACGCTGGCTAGTGCTGGAAGATTGTTCCATTGTGCTGATTGTTAGAAAAAATCGTGAAGGTTAATATAAAATAACAGACCAAGAGAGAAGAGGGCTATGTTCGATTAAAGGGTAAAATTGAGAAGCACAACTTGGAAAGGAGTGCGATCGCGTCAGCGCAAGTGCAAGATACAGGCAGGCCTTTGGTACAGCCTTCAGCAGGCTGAAGTTGATTTTGACGCATCAGAACGTTTTAGTAATGAAAAGACACATACGAAAGGCTTTTACATGCGAACACCCGTGTACCTTACTCCATTGAATGATAGTTGATGTGGGCTTCCGCATGAACCAGGATCTAAATTGAAACCGTGTTAAGGCAAGTAATAATCAGACAAAAGCAAACGCGCAGTCTCGCAGTAATAATTTCAGCCAAAAACATGGAATTCAAACTTATTGGCTACTTAAGATCGTGAGTGAAAAGATTTCCATGCATCAACCCACATACCCTGCGCGTCAAAGTCGGCATGAGACAATTTTGAATCGACCCTTGGTATCCAAATGCTTCTAACAAACTTCATATAGCGTCTGTAGCACTACCACCGACGCCAGTCCCCGACGTGACTACTGTATACGTAATGAAATGAACTTGCCAGTCATGATTATACTTGAGAATGGTCGTTGTATCATTCTTGGCTTGGCTATCATTCCAAGCAGTCTCGAGTTAATGAGAAAAAAACGGAAACACTAGTTATACACACCCCAAGCCTCCTTATCAAAATTACTCCGCAATGGGCTGCTGTAACTTCAATCCTTCTCTTTGCAAGCTCTAATTTCCTCGCTCTAATTCCAAGATCCTAGAAACGTGCCTCTCGTTCTTTTCCTCTAACGCTGCCAGCCGTATCATCGTCATGTTATCAGACTCTTTCTAATTCTTCTCCAGAGCCGCCAGACGCACCATTACCATTTCATCAGACTGCTTCTCGGTGCTCTCCAAGCCTGCTAGACGAAGCATTATCGGTCTGATAGATTGTACCATATCATCAATTTGGTGATCCCTAGAACTGATTTTCCCAATCATCTCAGAAACTTCTTTAGTGGCGTCATATCGAATTCCGGATATTTTCTGTTCGAGATTCGCAATCTGCTTTTGGTGGGTTTGGAGCTCGTTCTCGGCGTGCAACCGTAATAAGTCTTCGGATTCTCTGCTGTCACCCAAGTTCTTCAATTGTGTCATCAGGTGGTCAACCTTTCGCTTTTGTCCAGTCAGCCTATTGTCCATCAACTCAGCCAAATTCGTGGTGGTTTCCTTTTGTCCCTTTAGGCCACTTTCCAACTTTGAAGCCAGACTGTTGACGACTTCCTTCTGCTCATTCAGCTCGCTCTTCACATCGGGAAAGAGGTCAGCCAGATTATCCATGACTTTCTTCTGACCCTCCACTTTACATTTCGTATCCGACACAAGGTTGATTGTATTGTCGATGCATCCTTTCTGCTCCTCAAGTTCACTCTCAATATTCGCCAAGCTGATCTTGTCTTTTTGTAAAGAGGCATCAGTTTGTGCTTTCAATTCCCTGAAATTTTCATTGCATACTTTGAGTTCGTGTTTTTGGTTCTCCGAAATTTGTTCTAGGGTGTCTAGCCTCTTGCCATGGAAATTTCTCAGCCCGATTAGGTCTGCATTGAAAAGCAATGTCTGATCTCGTTGTTTCTTTATTTTTTGATCGAATTGGTGATTTATGTCCGTAAGTCTTTCAGATATATCTGCGACAAAACGTTCTAACACCGGAGAAGAAGTTTTGATTAGCGAAGAAGATTCTTTGTTTTTTTTCCAACCTCGAGGCCTACCTACAGGATTCTTCAAGCCTGTACTGACTTGAAGATCACTTGTATCGGTTTCAGCGAGGAACGCAGGTGCTACTTTTTGACGTTTCGAGTTTCTTGGCTCAGCTTCAGAATGATCGACAGGTCTAGCAGGATCAACTTCAATAGACGAAAATTCCCATGGATCTATGTTCTCAGATCTCCGCCGGTTTGGGACTTCTCTAAAGGGATTTGGCTCAGATGTAATTTCCATAGCCTTCCTTCGAGCCATAACTTTGGAGGTTAATGTCTCTTCCAAATTGTTTGAATCTAGTCTTTGTTTGACGTTGAAACCATGTGGAGTGCCGGTCGCGTGGTTTATAATACCACCAAGTGCAGAACCCTCGATTTTTAATCTGCGACCACATTCCTGACATATGGCTTCCAGAGATCCATTCTCGTATGTGATGATATACGGCAAATCACTCGGAAAGTACCTCCCGAGTTCGTCAAATTTAGCCTTCGCTTTGTCGCAAGATGGGGCCTTGAAAAGTCAGAACCGTTATTGCATAAGCAAAACAAACAGTCGTTTCAGAGAATACACGTTACTTACACCTTTCACTAAACAAGATCCATGTACTATTGCCCTTGAAGATCGGCTCATTCCTTTTAGGTCATCATTCTGCCCTGAAGACAGTGGTACAGGACTCGCCGATGAACTCGAAAAGCGTATGGGTGAACCAGAGTCGACCTCGCGGAGTTTATCTTTGTGCGCCACTTCTCCTAATATTTGTAAGATAGCCGCCATATTATAGGGGCAAGAGAAGCCCATAGAAAAATTACCCAATGATTGCATGTTTTTATCTCGTGGTGAATATCGGAGACGCACTCTTCGAGCGTTCCTGTGACGTGCCTTTGATTCCTTTGCCCGAGGATTACCAAACATTTGTGGTATAGTAACAGGATAGAATTAGAAGATAAATGAAATAGATTGATCCTTTGATATGCGCGTATATTGAGGAAGTAGATGTAAAGAAGAACCCGAGCGCGCGAGAAAAGAGCGCAAGAACAATCAAGCAAACACTCAATATCATGATTACCCCGCAATTCCTTTCGCGTTTCAGAACTGTGGGTGACTACATGTCTTGTATGCACAGAAATACCTTATTCGTTCTGTACTGTATATTTTGCAATTAAATCAATCATCAACAACTCTGATTCTGATGTGATCAGTGGGCAAGGGAAAATATGTGGTGGGAAAACACCTTGTAAAGGATAAATTTAAGACAAACAGCAATTCAAAAAAGTGATGTGAAGTTACCCCTACCCCAACAGTGTAACATTAAGCAAAAACTTTTTCTCAGCTCCATTGAGTCTGATCTATCTCAATTTCGTCCGCCAGACATAACCCGAATTAATCTACTGCAAACTCCTCTCTTCAATTTGTAACCTCTCGTTCCTTCTTTCTAATTCCACAATTTTGGAAACATGCATCTCGTTCTTCTCTTCCAAAGCTACTAAACGCATCATCATTATTTTATTAGACTGTACAAGGCTATCCATTTGAAAATCGTTGGAGCCACTTCATTTGTTTGACACATCAGGGTTGTCTATCAGGCTAGTTATACTTCTCAACTATTTGACGAATTCCTTGGTAACTCCTTCCACTTTGGCAATTCAGTGAAGAGCAGTTTGTTCGTTTGAGGCTTCAGTCTCCCTTTCGTATTGCTGTAATTGGCGCTTTTCGACTTGCTCATTTGAATAAATCATCTCTCCCTCTTTCAACGAGCATCGCCGACGCTGTGGTATATTCGTCAATGAGAGACTCTGAATGGGCTAGCTGTTTCTCGAATTTCTCAATGTCCCATTTTTTGGCTTCGAAAATCTTGATGTGGTCCAGATGTAATCGCAACTCATGTTCCATATCCGCGATGATTCCACTCTGACGGACAGTCACTTTCTGTTGCACATCCAACTTGCTCTTCCTGGTTCCTCAAAGCTAATACTGCTGAAGAACAAAGAATTATCAAACTACGAAGTCAAATTTTCAATTCGATGCTTTAGTGCAATCAAGTCTGCATGGATGGAAGATTCTTCGTGATCAAGCCTCGCGTTCACAGTTTTTTCCCAATCCTTTTGTTCTTTGAAAGTGCGACTCATTTCGGTGGATAGATCTCCATTTAAACGATTAGATTCGTCAAGCTCCTCAGTTAACCCTTCAAACCTATCTCTTTGCTCCGTCGCTAGTCATTGAACTTCGTGATTCTGCTTCTCCAGCATATCTTCGACTCGCACAATTCGATCCATAATGTCTACAGAAGGCACGCATATCTCTGTCCTTGAATCATTTAGTATCGATATTGGGCTCTCGGCTTGACGACTGACCACTTCGGCACCGTGGGATAGCTCAATCATCCTTCCTGAACTACCATACGTTGGCGGGGAAGATGCGAAATCTACCGAGAAGCTGGCGTCAGATGGGGTACGTGCTGTTCGCTGGCGTTCTTTGGCGTTTGGTCATCTTCTGGGTTTCCATCATCATCGAATGAATTGATTAATATACTACCAAAACATCCGCCCTGGTCGTGATTCGACTGCTACCATGGTAGCGCTTCTTAAGCTCTTTTTCGCTTCTTTGTCTACATCGTGTTGGCTATCTAGTGACTGGACTGTTCCCGATTGAAGCTGTGTATGATTGCTAGGTGTATCATCATTGGACTGTGTGTCAAAGCCTGGAGAGTCTGTACACTAGGTGGCTAAAGCTGAGCGTGGAGTGTTCTCATGAGATTGCTCCTAAAGCCAAGCTTGATCAGTGTCTATATTTACTAGCGATGAACGCAATGAAGAAAAATGCATACTAATCGAGTTCGTTTATTGCTAGAACGCGAGGTTTCTGATTCCATATATGCTCGCTTGTTTGCCGTAACAGCTTTAGTCCCGTCTAAGTTGATATCACCAGAAGATTCCTTCGGGATAACTCTGGGTCTTGGATGGCCCAGCAATATCGCCATTCTTGGCAAGTGTACCATCTGGACTTTTCACGTTCGCGAAATTCCCATTTCGAGACTTTGGCGCTTGATTCTCGTCGAGCCACCACGTCCATCGCGAGCTTATCGGATCCTTTCCTCTAATTTTCTTTAGTTTTTCCTTCCTTTTCTGAACGTATCTTGTTGTGATAGTTGTCTCACCATTGCGAGTCACCCTATCGGCATGAAAAGCACTCTCGATATGAAATCTTATGTATTAGACGCGGCTTCCGCTTTGCGCAACCTTATAAAGCTTGGCTGGACAATCGTGACATTTGAACCAAAGCTCGTTCTTCTTGGGTACGAGCTTGAGCTTGTCGTTGGGGTACTTCAAATTCAAATCGCGGAGCGCCGAGGTCACTCCAGAAACACCTAGTATGTGACTCGACTCATTAACTTTAACGTCTTTATGTTTAGCTTCTGATGGGGTGGATGGCCGCGAGATTGAAGTAACCATATTGCCTCTAGAACCAGGGAAGCGAGTGGACTCATGTTTCGTTTCCTATGCCTGAATCAGGTCGCGGATAGAGCTTGTATTTGTATAGATGCTGAGTGCATGTCTCGCTTGATTGATAGCTGTCTAAATTGCATTCAGGATGAACGGTATAGAAAGCAGAGTCTTCGTATAATTTGCCTGTGCCATATGGCGAACTGACGATTATCAGCTGATTGCCGGACGAGCGAAGAATTTTAACCTAGTGAATTTTTAATGGTAAAGTTCAGGCAGAGAAACGTTCAAAGTATAATCTTACCTTCTCCATTTGGCCAAGTACCAATAGTATCTCGTTTTCTACAACCCCGTGATGTATGGCTTGGTATGCCTCCCAAATTGAGGTGCAGAGTCAGTCAAAGCTGCAGAACGAATGAGCTGGAGTAGACATTTGATTAACGCCGTGGTTCTATCTTTCTTGCTGGAGGTATCCATTTTGACGCAGAGTTTGGCAGATAAATTTTAAAATAATGGGCTTGTAGATAAAGAAAGTCAAACAAATGCGTTTAGTGGGTGCAAGACTTGCATCACCCGTGTGGTCAGGTTGCTGAATTTGTGGCAGGAAATCTAGGAAACTGTTTCAAAAGATTAACATGTTTTAGAGATTTGTTACACTAGCGTACTTCTACCCCTCGCGTGCGTATTGATAACGCGTAAACGATAAATACGTGACGGGAAAATTCACTGTGTTGAAGTCAATCTTGCCTGTGAAGGCATCTTTGTGGTTAGATAATAAGGACTGTACTCAATCAGGTGCATTTCTCATATAAATTGGTCATTTCGAGAACATGGACTTTCACGTAGGAAGTTATTACTATGTAAACTTTCATCCACTGGAGCAATGCACAGAATGTCTGGTGAGCCGAACTCCATTGTGTTCCTTCGTTATCTGGCACATCGCAGCAAGATGATTGATCCTGTGTTTTCCATATATCAGCCGTGAGCAGCTTTCAACGTTATAAAAATTTAACTGTTCAGCATGTCGATCCGCCAATCATCCGGTACATAATGATATCTCCTAACAATGTACCAATATCTCTGAAGATTCGTGGCTAAGGTGAGTTACCTCGAAAATTAGCCTTGATCAGCCCCCAAAGACCTGTAGTAATAGGTCTAATAACCTGCCGTTATCCCCTCTTGCGTGCCGAGAGCATGTTTGGACACCCAACAGTTTTTCTCTGATCACTCAGTCTTGAACACTGGTAAATAATAAAGTGGGGATATTACTTCAACACAGTCTTAGTTCATCTGCTGGCGAAATACTGGAATATCCTAGGGATATAGTATCCAAATTTCTATGCTGTTGTGCCTGAATCGATAGGACAGTGTGCTGGAAGGGAGATGAATTGTCCACGAGATCACATGACTATCACGTTATCTGAAAAGAACAATATTCAGCCATCTAGAATTTCTCAGCACATCAGTTTTACACAAAATTTGCACTCCGTGAAGTGATAATTTTAAAGTGCTTACAAAATACCAAAATAAACAACAGCAGACGCACCCCTTTAATCGATTCATCGAAACCCCGTTCCCCACAATCCTCACCCTGAAGCCTGTTCACCCCACTTTCATCAACACCTCCACCTAGTCACCTCCACCACAGCGCTTATCGAAACGAACATGAGGCTTCTCGAACATTTGATGATATGCATGATCCTACACTTTTTGTATTCTTAGATACAACATCTCTAAATTTAACTTCTATAAGATTCGCTTGTAAAACAATCTTACGAGGAGAAGTCGATAAGGTTAAGCGAGAGTAGGATGGAAGGAATGTTCACTGAAGAGAAAGTGAGGTAAATATGGTATTTTTAGAGCTCCAATGTACGATGTGCAACAAATCTTTGAGATTGGCATTGATGTGATTTAAGAGTCATGGTTTGGACGGATAGATTATAAGATGGATATTAAATAGGGTGGGGTGATTGAGGGGATGAGGAAACGTAGATGACTTGAATTCGTTGTTGAAAGTAATCCCTAGCAAAGTGAAGCTTTGTACCGCAAAGGTCTTCGAAGATTTCCCAATAAAGATATGTTTGCGACAGATACTCGTGAGCTTCTCAAAGAATATATGAGCCTAAGAAGCGAACCTCCGAGTTCTCTCTATCCAAGCAACATGTCATGCCATTGAGCAATCGATACGGCACAACAGTATGAAATGCTACAAGACCACAGGTACAGAGATTTGGACATCACAGCCACGCTCAAACAACGATATTAATAGAATTTCAAATCTAGACATGCAAAAAAAGTCATTACGAAAACAATTCAGGCAGTGTATATCCATCTCACCTGTCGATACTCAACAGTACAAATCCCAATAGACACCAAGAAACCAGAAGCAGAAGCGCTAAAAATTTACATAGTACGCAGTACAAAAATAAAACATGACGTTAATCAAGGCAGAATTGATGCAGCGGCCCTGTGACCCAAAGAACCACCGATGGACCACAAGGCTGACATATTTATTACCTCATATTTATATCTCTACCAGAATTTAATGCAGACATTCATTCAAAGACCAGGCTGAGGATCGTTACTGCCTAAATGAATGTTTACAGGTTTCCGCCTGTAAGTCAGCAGTCAAGCTAATTTCATCAGCCTCAACCGCGCGTCAAAATCTAGGTATTTCCACAGCGTGGCCGTAGCATGATAAACGACCCGTCTAGAATACCATATTCTTCGAAATTATCATGCGGGAGATACATTCTATTTCTTTTGTTGCATGTCTCAATTCATCTCTAAAAATAAATACTAGGCGACATCAATCTCGATCAGAACTCTGCCCTTTGACTTCCACAGGAATAAAGCTTCGCTTCATGTTCTTTAAACTCGTCACATAAGTATCTTTTTCCCTCACATACGAAATAAGTAAAACAAATCCTAGACCTCAGGTTTCTCCCATTCCAACACACAAATGAGCCACACACTAAAAGTGTACATTAGCTTACAGTTGCAGAAGATCAGCTGGAGACTTTTCAGTTTTGGTAGCTTCAGTCTCTCCTCCGTATCCAAAATCTGTCTCCAGATTACTCCTCAGCTCAATATCTTGCACAAAAAAAGATGCGAGTAATCCAAAGATAGCAAATGCCAATCCAACCTCCCACACAAGCTTCAAACTAACCACGAATAGTTTCACAACTTGCGTTTGCAACTCCTCTGACAAAGATGTGATAAATGCCTTCGAAGCATGCTCATAAGCACCTCCAGCTCTGAACATCTTCTTCAAACTATCGTCATCAATGGTGTAAATCATACTTCTAAATTTAGCTTCGAAGATACTGGAAGGTATGGCGACACCACAAACGAACCCCAAACTTTGAATAAATCCCCACGTCGCAGTCGCAGTCGCGACGTCAGATTCTGGGAGCGGTGCTTGTATCGCAGGTAATGTAGCTGTAAGCACAATTCCAGCACCGGCTGCGAAAACTATCTGTAGTATCACCCAAAGGGCTGTAGAAGAATTTTGATTCAGAATGCTGAAGCATCCAATGGCGATAGTAGCAAGTGCAAACCCTAGGATTTGATTGAGTCTATAATGTCCCACTTTAGCAATCCAAAATCCGCCTAAAATGCCAAACGGAACCATTGGTATGGCTGCTGCAAGAGTATGGATCCCCGATTCCTGCGGGGAATCTTTCAAGACAGCTTGAAAGTAAACGGGAAGAAAATAGCTGGCCCAGTATAAGAGTATTCCATGAAGAAATGTGAGCAAAAAAGCTAAAGACGATGTTCTGTGAGAGAATAGTCGCAAGGGAGTTGTGGGTTGCTTGCAGAATGGCGAGTTCTCAAAAATCATGTATAAGGGTAGAGCCATAAAACCCAATAACAGTGGCACCAATCTCTGCCAAGATTCCCATGGTCTTTCCACATCGGTACCCGACAACGCAATCAGAATCGAGGTAATTGCTCCAATCAATAAGGTGTTTCCAAAGTAATCAATCTTTCCTAGGTTTGACATGGTTGGCCCAGAACGGACGTGGGAAACTCGAAAGAACAAGATGACTGAAAGTAGGGCCAGTCCTCCGATGGGCAAATTTAGCCAGAAAATCCATCTCCATCCAATGTGTTCGACCATTGAGCCTCCGACTCTGGCAAAGAGGATGCGTTAGCATTCAGATGACGAAGGTATCAACCCGGTAAAAAGATTCATAAGAATTGATAATTATGGAATCACCACTCACACGGGCCCAATGAAAGTGCCAATAGCAAACGCTCCATAGATCAAACCAGTATATTTTTGTCTCTCTCTCAAAGAAACCAAATCGCAAACTACCATTGCTGGCAAGATGCTTAAGCCACCTCCCCCAAGCCCCTGAACTGCTCGTCCGCTAATCAGCATACTAGTATGACCTGCTCCGGCGCAAATGCCGCTACCCAGGAGGAAAAAACATATTGCTATTATAGTGGCACTTTTTCGCCCAAAAATATCAGCAAATTGTCCGTAAAATGGCTGTATCGCAGTAAAGGTAACTGTATAAGCATTGATAATCCAAACGTAGCTTGATGACGAATTCAAATCGGCTGTAATTGTAGGCAAAGCGGTTGATAAAATTGTGGAATCAAGTGCACACAATACGGATGCAAGACACAAGCCCGGGAAAATGGCCCAAAACTGCCAGCCGTGTCGTTTGGTGGGGTTCGATTCGCGGTGGGACTCAGAATCTCCTTGTCCAGGAGATGATGGTGATTCTTCGTTCATATTTAATTGTAGTAGACACTAGGAATCTCTAATATTATAACTTTCAATGAATTTTGAGGGATACATTGTTTTATCACAAGAGTGTCGAAACTAGAGAGGTAAACATAATCAAGTGGGAATCAAGCACAGCAGCAGCGGCGCAGTCGGTACGCGGCGGAGTATCACAGGCATTATGTACGCATTTACCCGACTCACAAACACACGTTACAAAAAGAGGCGAAAGAGTGTTTCTCGGTAAACAGCAAACAAGGAGGGGAGGGTCACTGGGTAGTTGATAATAAAACGGCGCTTAAGACATGTGACGTCGAAGGACCACGGTGGTGTAACGAACTGTATGCAATGGAAATTGTTTATTTTCACCATATTTTTCAATACTCCATCTACATCATTTTTGAAATTGCTTGCTGCTTTTGAGAGTTGACAAAAGAATTTTTTACGCTACTCTTTCTTGTCATTCCGCTTTCTGTCCGACGATGTATACAATATCCATCAAGATACGCAGCCCACCTTGTGCCTCTTTTTCTACACCCCGTAGCATCTCACGCCATCTATCAGCGGATGGAAGATTTGGGTTGCCTTGGGTCGACGGTATCACATCATGCTCTACAAAATCGCGATTCGCCATAATCTGCATCTCTGTCCATGGCTTTGCCATGTGATTTCTAATAGGCACTCGGCGATAATCATGAACCTTCAGATTATGGCTTTCGAACAATTCTGTCATTCCACTAACCCATCTATCGCCTCTTTCGTTAGTGAGATTCTTTTATGTGGAAGTGAGACTAAATTCGTACTGAGACGTGCAACCTTGTGACTCTAGCCAAGACTTGCCAAAGCGGTTCATCTCGGTTGCATAGGGCTTTTCTATGGAGGTATGCATACCTCCGACATCCAACTCGTCCCAGTGAAGATATCCTCCTGGCTCTGCCTTGAAGTTAGCCCTTGCAAACGTTCTGCCTTGCATTCTTTTCTACTTACTAAGCATCTTCATGAAGTTTTGTAGCAATGGAGCAGGATCCTCGTTTCGAATGAAGAGATTGATTCGTCCAACATGAACCACGTCGTATTTTCCGCTGATGTCTTCTGTAGGCGGCTTCAAAGCGTCGTGTGTAAATAATTTCACGTTTTCAGGTAGCTCGGATTTGCTTGGAAAATGAGAATCAGAAATATCGAATCCATCAAGCTGAGCTTCTGGGAGTGACCGGGACAAATCCACAAGCCAAATTCTACCGACGGTTAGTTATTTACCCGCATGGCTGCATAGAGATAGGTCGAACTCGACACGCTTACCCTGTTCCACAAGCTACATCTAGGATTTTCAAGTCTTTCTTGTCTGTCGGTATTGCGGGATGCAAAATAAAGCCTGTCTCGTACTGGCACATCCAGTGTTGCAAGTAAAGTCTTTTTCAAACATTGGCTGAGTTCTAGAACTTTTCTTGGATGGTTTTTACATACCTGACAGATGCCTCGTTGTTTCGGCTAAAAGCCAGCACTTCTTTGGACATTTTTCTGATAAAATTTTATGTCTCTCTAGTGGATATGAATCCGAAATTCTGAAGCAAGTAGCAAGATCATCTATATGTAAGTGAGACCCGTTTGTGGAAACGTAATGTTGTCAGATCCTGCTGTTCAGCGCATTAGCCGTAGTATCTTTGGCAACCACAAATCACCCAGAATCTTTACTGCCGAAAGATTAAGTGCATATTGCGCCGCACGTATCTGCAGCCAGTGCACTGTGTATTATTCATTTGAAGATATTTTCCTTTTTGGTGTAGGTTTATCTTCCCTGTTGAGAGCACGTTGGAACATTGATGGTACCTTTGTTTCCAATGAAGTTCAATTCCAATTGGTCCACTTACGCATGGTTGACAGACCGAAAAGCCCGCAACGGGTCATCATTTGTTCCGATCAGATCACTGTGCCTCACGGCAACATTTGAAGCTGGCACATTATGCCATACAAGAAGTATTAGTGTGGCGTGAACTGTCCCAATTGATACTCACGAGTATCTAAGTAGTATCAATCCTCAATGTCCCCGTCAAATAAAACCCAGGGTTGCAGCATCTCTGTACAAATCCGGGAACAATTAATTTGGTGATTACCATAATTTTTGGTAAGTTATTACGCACACGTGTTCGTCTCATGATCATAATCTCAGCTCAATGTAACACTGTTGTACAGCGCCTCTTTACCCCTGTGTTGCAGAAAGTTTTTGCCGTTCTATTTAGCCGAAAAAAGTGTTTTGATAGCTTAATCACCTCATCTAAATCAGAAAAATGTCTTCATCTCGATGCATGCCTGATCAGAAACTGTACTAGGTACAAATCAAAAGCCTCAAAGATTATCTTGCAGCTAATTGTTCTTTTGCGTGGAAAGTACTCGTATCTGTCATCTCACCCTCTACCTCATTAGGAAAGACAGATTCTAGCTTATCTATGTTGCACAATGTATCCAAAACACCATAGACGTCTTGAAGCAACAAAACATCCCGAATGAGGATTCCCGGCAGGTATACTACTCAGTTTTCATGTGATGTCTGTTTAAGGGTAGTGCTCCTAGATATGAGCACAACACTTTGCCCCGAAAACAATGCAATAGCAATCAAAATTGGAATACGAATTTTCTAGTTTCTTGCTATTCTCTATATGCATGCCATCGAATCCAACTAATATCTTGCTCGGTGGTAGATCTCAGGACTGAGATAGGAAGTCAGGCATAAGGCCTTGTTCTTAATCCCACAAGCAATATAAGTTTGGATACCACAGCTATCCTCTAGCGCGCGATGGAAACCGATCTGCTTTAACATCTGCAGGTATCTATGAAAGTGTTGATCGCATCCTTGTCTCTGTAGATACGAGCCGAGTCCCTTGGCTATATCGAGATCACTGCGACCGTAGTGCCTCACCGGAATGTACACTTTCACATCGGGTGAGTTGTTCACAGCATGTATATCATAATTGTATAGTATACCAGCTGTGTCATGGTTCAAAGAAGGCAGTTCTCTGCTTGTTGGAAAGCTTGTCGCGAGTCCCAGAGCCAGATACCAGAGTATTCGTAGCTCTGACATAAGTTCTTTAGTCCACACAGAATGGTTGAAGTCTCCCATAGTTAAGTTATAACACACATCATCAAAGGCTGTCTTGATGCTCCTGACGTAAAGTTTGAAACGCGAATTGAGTGGTTCGATGCAGTCGACAGCAAGGGCAAGAAACGTAAGATTTGACTGCCCATGCTTGGAGCCCAGGAAGTTATGAAAAGTACCGTAAGCAGGGAGTTTAATATTTAGATCATGTTCCAGCTTCCGAAATGAACTCGAAGCAAGGTCGAGCGGTAGCCTGCCGTATTTATATGCCTTGATCGGTGCAACATAAGCCTTCGCGTTGATTTTCCCCTTCCAGGGCTCGAAAGCTAACATCACAGAAGAACTGTTTGTAGGGGAAGAAACTGGAACACTATAATTGAAATCTTTGGCTCCAATAACCGGCACGAAACACTCTCGAAAATACTCGAAAAGTTGCCAATCCATGCTTTGTGATTTTTTGAGTCCTTCAACAAGCCGGACAGTCTCTAGCTGATTGTACGGATCAAAGGTAGACCCAGCACTGGGTGCAATAGCTTCAACAGCATACCTGATGCGTGGAGTGGCACCCCAAGTCCAGCTATACTCAATTGGAGAGCAGTCGTCAGTCATGAAGCTTTTCCAGCCATGAGGAAGACCCTCAGGAGTAGGTGGATTACCCAATCGGTGGATAATGTGTTGGAAATGGAACAAAAGGGCAGAGTATTGACTATGATCGTCATATCCAGCCGCATCTAGCATCACTGAAAGAGGCCCGCCTGTCATCTGCCACCAAAATGATGAACTTCTATCGAGGCAGCTCAAAGAGTCGAGTAGGACATTCCACGGTCGATTTAACAGTTTTGGAAAACTATGTTTCGAGTAAAGAATGGTGGAGCTCTGTTGATCAATCCCAGTTATTAGTCCCGAATTGATCAAGAAATGCAAATCACCTACGAACCTCGTCATCTGGGCGCGAATCACACATCAAGTTAACTTCGTTGCAGTCCATCTTAACGTAAATATTACTCAGAAGCTATGTTTGAGATGCGGAGTAAATCTTGAAGTCTCAGTATAATTTTGTGTCCTAGATTGTACATGAGGCTGCGAGTTGGGTTGGGCTGAGAGAGAATTGGTGGAAACTGGCAAAGACCAAGTTTGAGGGCGTTGTCAGGATGTACAAATTTAAGACCTGAGTGACAAAAATCCTGCAAAGAATTACGTACCTATAAAGATCTGCATTGCTGGAGATCGATGGATTGGGTAATGATTCTACCTCTTTCCTTGAAACTCTCGGCTTTTAGTTAAGGGCCGTCTTACCTACTCTCTCGGGAAAATAATCCTTCAGTGGCTGTCCAGTAGAATTATTCTACCATACACCAACACCTACTGCGCCGCAAACCCGTAGTATTTTCTAATCGTTCAGTAAGTGCGTTCTCTCTCGTACGAGCAGGAGTACAAGGGGCCACAACAAAGTGCTACCCCATATTTCATGTGCTGCCATCCAGCTACCAAGCCACCAAGTTGGGTAAATGCTGGGGAGTAGAATTGATCAACGCATATATTTATCCAAACGCCTCCTTTTTGGGGGTAGATAATCATGTATCTGAGTTGAAGGATGTTGGCAATCCTTGACCAAAGCCCCCATGAATGCTACTCTTAGATCCTACATTGCAAAGAACGCCAAACTTCGAATTAGCTAACGAACCCGATTGAAAACTTAATGCCTTGCTAGCCATCTCTTCACAGCGAACAAAAGCTTTTGAGTTTCTTAGTTCTATTCTCTTCAGACTTTTCAAACAACTTTTCCATCTAACAATCATTTCAGAATCGCAATGAGTCAGAAATCAACAGAACCCATCATCGGAGGACTACCACCACCTCTAGGTGTTATCCCTAACTTCGAAGACCCCTATTCAATCGCACCTGTATTACACGGTATCACTATTTTACTTCTGGTTCTCAGCACGTTCAGTACCATTATCCGAATGTATACCCGATTCCAGATTATGAAGGATCATGGATGGGAAGATTGTATGCAGCGCTAGATCAACTCTTATCGATTGCGAAACACTACTAAAGATTAGCCAGATATCATGTTCGTTGCTTGGGTATACAATCCAGAGGATTTCAACACAAATATGTCTTCTAACATACCCATAGTTGGGGTTTCTTGCATACTGTGCTGTGGGCTATCCGGCTCTAAGATATGGTGCCGGTGTCCACCAGTGGAATGTCCCAGCAACGAGCGTCATTGAATGGGCAAAGGCAAGTACATACACCCATAGAGTTCAGGTAATCTCATCATAATTAGGCTAACGCAAGTAGTGGGGAGCAATTGCGGAGGTCGTGTATCCTCCACTCATTGCGTTGACGAAGTTGTCCATTTGTATACAGTTCCTCCACATATTCGTTCCCGAGCGCGGGATCAAATATTGGGGTGTTCAGGTTTTCATCTGGATCAACATGCTATACTTTGTTGCCTGTTTCTTTGTCTCCCTATTTCAATGCCTTCCGAGGGAAAAGATTTGGAATCCAACTGTACGCGGGACTTGTTTGAACTACAAGCCGTACATCTTGGCTACCGGCATTTTCAACTGCGTCTCAGACGCACTCATGCTTATTTTCCCGGTCTTTTCCGTTTGGGACTTGCACATGTCGTTTGCTCGCAAATTGGGAGTTTCTGCCATATTCTTGGTGGGTACCTTGTGTGTCATCTTTCTATTTATCCCCGATTAAGATTAAGATATCGGAAGTTAACTTTTTTCAGAGCAGTAATCTCTAGTATTATGCGTATTGTTTACAGCTCAATCAACAATCAAAGTCATGATTCGACATATCACTTGACTCAAGTTGGGATGTGCACGTATGTTTCAATTAACTTCACTTCACCCTACAACAGAGATGTATATACTCATATTGGAATTGTAACTGTACTGATAAAGTCCAAGAGTAGGTGAAATCTGTGCTGGTATTGTGATAGGAAATCTTATCCTTTTCCCTCGCTTTTTCAAGACATGCACTCCAAAGCTATCGCAGCTATTCTCAAGCTATCGTGCTTCAACCAAGACAGGTTCAAATAGACCTTCTGATCTCACGATTTCAAAATCTTGGCAAAAGATACCCGGGAAGGCAATGCCTGGTCAGCGAAGTGAAGAAGTGTTGACCGCCGAATCCATTGAGCTTAGCCATTCAATCAGTGGCATTTCTCTTTCTTCCCGAGAACCTTAATTAGGTGCGGGTTTAAGTCCCTGTATGCATCGGAATCTCGCCCTCTGTATAGAATTTGGCTATATCGATAATGCTGCAGGGCATCCCCGACAGCTTCGCACACACTTTGGGGATGAGGACTGAATATGACGGTCAAGTCATAATCAACGATATGACTTCATTTGATCCAACAGAGTCACTGGACATCAAATCTTATATACTATTATTATAATCCGAAGTCTTTAATTGAACCTTGATCTTCAGATAGATTAATGACATGACTCAAAATTCTATAAATCTGATTATTGTTTAATACTATACCATCTTTGATATGACAATTGACATTTGAAAAATGCGGTTGACTGACATAATCTGATAGTGCAATATGATATGACGGTCATTTCACAACCCTAATTTAGTTCAGGACACAAAGTCAGATTTTTTGAGTGTAATGCTAATCGAGTAATGAAGATTCTAGGGTGTGGCTACATATCTAATCTGATGGGAATATGAAATCGGGAAAAAGAGTACCTAGTAATGAAGTATGGCACTTCGTCCCCTTGAAGCTTCTTGTAGATATATGAATATTGAAAAAACGTGCGCTGTTATAACCAACCAGGTAGCAAATAATAAGATCCTAGTCTATAACTATTTCCTCCATGAAGGCTCAGTTCTGACATGCAATTGATCATACAACTTAATGGGTCGATCATATCAAATCAAAAAATTACCATCCTCCCATCCAGAGAAGACCCATTCTCCTGGCAATTCGAAGTCGACGTTTGAATCTTGCATCTAGAAAGAATTAGTACCTGATCATCACGTTAGATACAAGAAGAAGACTTACCATTGCGTCCCAGTCAACACCGTTAAGACCGGAATTCATCGATAGATTGCGATTTGCTTCTGCACTTGTCTGCGTTTCCTGCTCTTTGTATTTATCCGTCATCAATTGTAAACAATGATTCACACTCTTCCGAGCCTCGGTTATGATTCCCTCATCAGCAGGAGCAGCTTTCTGAAGAGCTTCAACCTGACCGCAAAGACAAGATACGAACACATGTCCTTTGATATTAGTATCACCTCTCAATATTCGATTAGTGGACCAATCGCGCCCACTACGGAGTACACGTAGAAGTTCTACCTGTTGAGGAGGCGGTGGGTTGATTGATAAAGATATTGGAGGGTCCTCTTCAAGTTGTTGGTTTAGTTCCAGGCCAATACTTATATGTGCATGTATGTAAGTCCCCCTTGTGATACCGGATGCGGTCCAGGTAAGTAGGGTCCAATCATCAGGCTGAGATAAGTTTAATTGCTCCGGGAGTGATATTGCTGGCCCAAGTAGAGATAAAGAGGTTTCGAGGCAGACCTTTCGAGAGAAATAATAGGTTGGATTGACCTTGGCTTTGATTGCATAAGGCTTATGCAAGGCTAAGAGGAAATGGGTCGTGTAGAAGTCATGCAACTTAATTTGGAAAGGGTTTGGCTTTGGTTCAGAATTGGATCTAAGGAATGACTGTAGTAACGCGGAGCTAGAACGACTTGCTGCTGAGAGCCTAAAGGTGATAATCGTTAGTCCCTTAAGATCTACAAATTCCTTGACCAGTATAAACTTGCATACAACGAAATGTATCTCGAATCACGAATTCCTAAGAGGGAGTACTTACGTAGATCCTAGACGCAATGTATCTTCGTATGAGATCTCATTTCTGAAGCTATTGACGGCCTTTGCTATTTCGAGCCTCGTACAGAAGGTCCTCATAAGTGATATTTGAATTGAAGTTCGAGTAAATGTCGTTATAGGTTTTGACATTGGTGCTTTTTTGGTCGTTTCACTAATTTCCGAATCATCGATATTCGCTGGTAGCTCCGTATCATAATCTTGTGTATTGATTAAAGGCGACATTCCAAGATCTTGACTTGACTGTAAAGAAAATTCTAAAACCGTTGCCCAAAGTCGCCTCCGCATCTCCGCATAAAATGGACCCATCTTGGGAAAGTGTACCGGATCACGATGGAGACCTAAGGACATGGCCAAGTGATAGACAGAACCAGAAGAAATCCATGTGAGATCGCCCCCAACGGATTTTACTTGACGAGCTACAAGAAGTAGACAATGGATTTGTAGACCTACCATGTTAAGACGATGCTTTTCGGATGGTGCTGAAACCCAAGCTTGAGCCGCAGCAATCCAATGTTGAGCTTTGGGATGTAAAGAACTGGGCTGTATAGGATCTTCGTAAAAGCTTGTTCCGATGGCCATCACGAGTAGCAATTTTATGACAAAAGCCATATCCGCTGCTGCAGGATTCTTCCAATATGATGCATATTCCTCTTCAAATGTTGGAATATGTAAAATACGATAGGCGGATTCAAAAGTTCGAAAATATGCATTGACGAGACGATCCGAAGTCTCCTTGTCCGGGACATAATCGCGGTACCCACTTGGTACTGATGATTTTGCACCTCTGAGTTCTTTTACCTTTTTACCCAATGCCTTGCATTTGTTCAATAGATCGTAAACTTCTCCCCCCTTGCTTAATGGCCCAAGCTCTTTGAGTTTGGTCAGATGTTTAGACTTTAAACACATTAGCAATTGTTAACGTAATTAGTGATGATTGAGGTAAAATATCAGTTTTGAGCGAACGCAAACGTCATGGTTTAAAGCGGAGCAAGTGGGAAGAGACGGTAGATAGAAGCAAGAAGAGACCCTGCGGCATTCAGATGAAATGGAAGGAACCAGGAAAAGTTATAATATGCTAACCTACTTGATCAATCGAGTTTATCCAATGACTTTGCCCAAAGAATCTTGTTTTGGAAAGACTTCCCCTCAAGCTAGGGCCTCTGACGTATGAAGCGTGAAGTAGATTTGGGCCATCATTCATAGCATCAGTTTCAGATATTATCTGTTCTAACTTACGTACTCTGTCTAGGAGAGCTTGTACAGTTGGATCCGAAGGGGGTTGATGTGGTACAACAGCCTGTCCACGAAGTGGAAGTAACCCTTCAACGATAGGGGTTCTTTCAGCCCAGAAGTTTGTAGAGTCCGATGGGATACCATTGGTTACATTATCTGTACCACCATTGCAGTTTGGTGATGCATGGGTGGCACTTCCGGGACTGTGACCTATAGTTGAAGGTGTAGCAGGGTATTGGCCGTTCCCACTGACCCGGGGTCTTTTAGACTGTGGAGCTGGATCGGAGCTATATTGACATGCTGAGGTCCTTGATGAGATGCATTGACCACATGGCATGCTTCGATCACATTTTATCTTCCGACGTCGACATTGTATACAGGACAAGGCTGGCCTGCGACGTTTCCGGGGTCGAGTAGGAGGCAGAGGATGATTCCCTTCTATTCTTGACGTTTGTAATACGATGGAATTGATGTCCATCGTAAAGAATCGAACTGAATTGGATGCTTTTGACGGAAGTAATTAATTCCGACGGTGTATTGAGACGGTTAATTCGTAGATTGAAACGGTTGAACTGATGGTATGTAAAGCAAGCAAACAGTTCACAACCAGATCCTGTCCAAAAAGGCGTAGGTATGTCGATGCTGTACGGATTTATGACGGTATATTGAGTTGAATTGAAAAAGAAATAATGAAAAGACCGAGATGAGATTATAAGGGAAAAAAGAGTCGTGCTCATACGATGCAATGAGCGGAGATAAGCGGATTGTTTATAAGAAATTCGGACATTGATCCATTCACCCGATATACCGGGCGATAAAAAGTAAGAGCTAACACCAGAACGGTCATGGTGGGGATGACTAAGACATCTCGTGGCGGATACTGTAGAAAGCCGTGACAGCCCAGCTCGCTCTTTCCGGATTTAAAGAATTGTCCGTGATATTTCTCATCATTTCCGATAGACTCAATGAAGGGGACGGGGGAAAGAGGGAGGATCGGCGTCGTCGTCGATTATGTCCACACCCTTGCCGCCATCTTACAATGGTAGAAAGTAGATATAGAGGATGGGTGATTGATCTGTATCAAAACCTATATTGCCATCAACAAACTCATAAATAATAACTTGTTAAAATTTGACCTTCGCAGCTCCATCAAAAATTGGACGCAATACCAAGAAACTATCAATTTCCGCATCATCCCTGCTTACAAAACAATCGACGCGAAGCACGGAATCCGCATTTTCCTATCCACAATGGAATCCACCAAAACCCATAAGGCTAAGGATGACCCCACAAGCACTGGCAGACCCGTAGGTTCCGACGTTGATATCGAGAGATCAGTGGAGAAGGCGGACGCCAAGAACGAGAGATTAGAAGTGATTCAAAGCGAAGCCGAAAAGCAAAATGCGTTTATTATGGATTTCCCTGATGGGGGAGCAATGGCTTGGTCTGTAGCAGCAGGAGCAGCTGGAGTTTTATTCTGTACATTTGGATATATAAATGCTTTCGGTAGGTCTTTCCGAATCTCACAACTCTTGTTGATGTCTCAAGATTGTTCAACCATTGTCTCTCCTTTAAAAAATAGCGCCGTTTTGAAAATTAGCGACAACTAACCATTTACTTAGGTGTTTACCAGGAATACTACCAAACCCATCAACTCTCTCATCGAACCCCTTCCGATATATCGTGGATTGGATCTCTCCAGGTATTCTTTCTCTTTAGCGGAAGTGCCGTCGGCGGCCCACTTTTCGATCGTTATGGAGGAAGAACAATATGGCCTGCTGCTCTTCTATATGTTTTTAGCGTCATGATGACTAGTCTCTGCAAGGAGTACTATCAATTCATGCTTGCACAAGGGATCCTCGGTGGAGTAGCTACTGGCATGACAATGGCACCTGGAATGACAGCTGTTGGTCAATACTTTAATAAAAAGAGAGGCGCGGCAATGGGCATTACAGTCGCTGGGTCTTCAGTGGGAGGAGTTATATTTCCAATTGCCCTAGCAAAAATGTTTGCGAACCCAAAATTGGGCTTCGGATGGAGTGTTCGGATCATTGGGTTCATCATGCTTGCAGTCCTTGGAATCTCTTGCACGACTATCCGAGCG